CCAGATTTTATGTTATTGGAAAAGACAGAATGCTTAAATTTGCGGCACCATCTTACAAAATACCTTTCGTATGATAAGTGCTACGGGATTCGTAGGAATCATAGAAGGCCTGGTGGCCCTTAAATTTGTGGCATCATCTTCCAAAATACTTCTCAAACAACAAGTGCTACAGAATTCGTAGGAATCATAGATGGCCTGTAATCAACCAGAGGTTAGTTTTTATGTTATTGGAAAAGATAGAATGGTTAAATTTGTGGCACCATCTTACAAAATACCTGTCATATGATAAGTTCTACAGGATTCATAGAAGGCCTGTAATTAACCAGAGACTATTAGATTTTATGTTATTGGAAAAGACAAATTATGAGGGTTGGAATTTTGATGTTGATAGCAGTATTGTAAAGTTGTCATGACATTGAAACAAACAACATTATTTATAATATACAATTATACAGGAAAGTCCTTTCTAGCACGACTTGAGATTACAGAATATTACTGTAACAAAACCGGGCCTGAATGGTCGAGTGGCTAGCGCTCTGGCGCTCGGTACCACAGGTTTCTTGTTCGAGTCCCGGCGGTGCCATGGTTGTTTGTAGTGGTTCGGAATCCACTTTAAAAAGTAGGTCCCAGTCTAATAGGATCGTAGAGCGTTGCGGCGGCATTGTTACTCCGCGTCCGTGGCTTATCTTCAAGTGACACGCGCCTCCAGGGTAATACAAAGTGAGTACGTCTGTGCAGCACTTGCCTTAAGGCATCTGAGACCAAGCTGTCTGTGTTTGCCAGCTGCATTAGAAAGAAAAAAAAACTGTAACAAAACCTTGTCGTAACTTCGTACAACGAATTTCACCTAATTTTGTGAGTAGCATGGGAATTTGTTTTTATTATTATAGTAACGTATATGCAGTTTTAAATTTTGAATTTATTATTCACAAATTTTTGTAATATTTTTATATTTGCATATATATGTATTACATTTCTATTTTAGCCAAGCAGTTCGGAGCAACAGAATTCTTAAATCCCAAGGATGTGTCCAGTGTCCCCGAAAAATTGGCCGAAATGACCAATGGAGGGGTGGACTATTGTTTCGTTTCTGTTGGCATTACACCTGTCATGGTAAGTTTTTTTATAGTCAATAATATGACACATTTTTTTTTTCATATAATTGATTTATTTAAATGCGAAAAAAGGATGTATTTAAGTCCTTATGACATCCTTATATTAAGTTTTTAAGCCAAAATTGTTATATCAAATAATAATTTGCTACCAAGTTTTATTAAAATATTCTCGTTTTGATGACTTAAATATTCTACTATATTACAATTTTTCTTTTTTTCTTCATTGGCGCAACAGCCCCATGGTGAACCAGGGCCGTCTGCCTATTGCTTTATATCGAGACAGACGATGCTTCTTTTTACGGGATAGGGTTGTCAGCTTTACGCCCAACAGTCATATTAGATCGAGACTTACGGTTTAAAGTGAATTCCGAACCACTACAAACACCCATTGCATAGTTGGAACTCGAACTCTATGGCACTGAGTGCCAGTTACTTTTCCATCGGGTCCCTTTTTCACCATTTACTATTATGTTATATGCAATATATATATATATATATACGCCGTCCAGTCACATTAATGTGACCACCTGTCTAAAGCCAGAATATACACTCTTGTACATTCTGGGTTTAAGTAGAATGGGGTATCAAGTAGAATTCTTTATATACACTCCACTGCAATGTGCTGCCACCTGCCTTTTGTGATGGGTTCTTTCACTTTGACGTCTAAAGTAGGTGGTGGTCACATTAATGTGACTGGACTGTATATATATACATGTATGTATGTATATATATATATATAAAGAGAGAGAGAGAGAGACCGCCTCTATTACAATTCTAAAAGTAAAAAAGAAAGCCAAGAATTTTATTAAAAAAATACAATACATACGTATTGCACGATAATGCTATACATTGAAAATACACTACAGAAGGCCATTATTATAAGAAAATTTCTGATTAGTCAGAGATAATTATTACTGGCACAATCAACTTGAGATATATGCTCCAAGTATTGCATTCTTCAGAATATTTCATTCATTTTTCCTTCTCAAAAAGGAAACTCTTTTCCTTTTCAAACTGGAGATTTAATGCGGAAAATATAATTTGTTCTTCAATTTAAAGCGTTCTGATCGTTCAAACTTGTCTCAATATAGACATATTAAACTAGTCAATTATTTAAAACAACGAGGGGATAATGGAAAACTAAGGTATAAAAACAAAGATCTAACTTTATCAAAGATAACCGAATCTTATTTTGAGAAAAAATAGCATCGAATTTCACTTAGTCCGTTTTTGAGCTTGGTTTGTTGCTCTACGGTCATGTTGTGTAAGTGAACTAAATAGACCGGAATCAGCAGTATAAAAAAGATTCCGAACGACTAACAAACAACCCATGTCACTGCCAAGATTTGAACATGAAGCCCGTGGTACCACAAGTAAGAGAGCTAGCCACTTGACATCAGGCCGCTCACTTAGTCCTAAAGAAATTTAAATCGATTTTTAATAAAACCGCCATTTTTTAAAATAATTTGTGCCAAATTTCGTTCCTACTATGAGTAGCATATTCTACTGTTTATGCACTACACATAAGCAGTATTTAATCTACTATTTTTGTCTGCGCTAGTGCATGTACGTGTATTAAAATTTTTATTATTACACCCAAAATGCACCACTAAATGATACGTTGCATTTGCAATATTACATCTTCATTTGTTTCCGTTAAATTGATGTTTGAAAAAAAAAATATTCAAATAAAGTACAAGTTAGGGCCTGGTATGCGTGTGATCATGATCAGTGCTGTTCGTAGATGCAAACTAAATTATTTCTCAAAATAATTAAACGATGTTTAGCTGCCCTATTTATTAAAATTGCAAAGGCGGCACTGCACAACTGCAATACATAACACAATTATAACATATAACAAATATTTACAAAATCATCTTAAAAACATGTTCGTTTAAGAGTCTTCGTACCCTCCGTACTAGCCGGAACCCTTTACTCGACATGGCACACTCCCTTTTCTCTTCATCCCTCTCCCATTAATGGATTTAAAAATAAATAAATAAACATGCAAAGTCCAAAGTCGAAAATAAAGGTCAACCCGTCCTTGCAAAAAAGGTCTAGTAACTTTGAACTTTTCCCCATTGGCTACATTTTGTTTCGGGAAGACATGGTGGATCCTCACTGATAATTTCATTAAAAAAATATAAAAAATCCTCAATTACTTTTATTTATATCGATGTAGGAAACTTATGTATACAACCAAAAATAGATTCCATAGACGATTTAATTATCTTAATCACTTAGTCAAGACAATTTTTTTAATCAACTCATGATCTTAAGCATTCAGAAGAAGAAAAAAAACCCAATATTTACAACACGCTAATATCTCTTTTAACAAATATTAGCCCTAACATAGTTCATCACGTTATCCGTTAACGATCGTAAAAATAATCACAATATCGTTCCACCGTTCTAATAATAAGTAAAAAACTGCCGTTCATTTATTAGGTTCGCAGACATGCTTTTAACACACATGCGTGCGAGAATCGATTGCTGTTACCTGTTGTTGGAACATCATCCAGTTCTTGTTGCCTAATGCAAAACACACTTCTCGCTGCTTATTTTAGTCGGAACCGGGGTGCTACCCGATCGATGGAGACTCATGAATATTAACTAAATGGTAGATAAAAGAAAAAAGGGGTTGCTTTTAAAGATTGGATGTCGTCCAGCTTTTAGGAAATGTGAAGTTTGCATAGTTTTTGTTTTCACTAGTGGCTGGTTTGCCTTTACAAAGGCACATGCGCAGATAAGATAAATGTTGCTTGTAGTGATACACGATGCTAGTTAATGCAAAATGTGTTTTATTCCAGACTTTATAAGGCTACAAAATGGATAATATATATTGTACATTTCTGTGTAGTACAACGTTTGTGTTTTATTCAATTCCTTCTATTAGCTCACATTCTCCCTATATATATCATGTTCAAATTTTCATTCTTTCATAAAACACTTTTTATTCATCCACTCCAGTTCAAATACATTTTTTTTTTTAATTTGCAGTGGATGACACTGGATGTTGATACAGTTTTTTTTTTCAAATATTAATTTAATAATTAAATTTAATTCATTAATTTTTGGGTTTTTTTAGATTTAAGTTGCCTATATCTACCAATAAATGGCGCCCGATAAAATTTAAAAAATGAATGACTATTATTTATAAAGGACTTTCTGCAATAGAGTGAAAAAAATAGGAATTGACTTAATTTTTTTTATATATATATTACTTGTTTTTGTTTATACACCTTTATTATTATGATGCTAGTTAATGCAAAATGTTTTTATTCCCAAATTTTATAAGGCTTCAGAATGGGTGATATATACTGCACATTTGCGTGTAGTACAACGTTTATGTTTTATTTTAGAAACAAATTCGAAAGTTGTATAATGTTTAAATAATATTTGTGATAATTAATTCTTCAATATAAATTACAGTTCTAATAACTAACTAACTAACTCATTGGCACTACAGCTCATGTTGAACCGTGGCCGTCTGCCAATTGGCAGATTCCGATGTTTTCTGTTTACGGCGTAGGTTTCTTAGCCCTATGCCTAATCATCTGATTTACCGCTCTACGCTCATAAAAGGCCGGTACATAAGGTTTAAAAAGGATTCCACACCACTACAAATACCCATAGCACAGACAGGACTCGAACGCGAAACCTGTGGCATAGGAGCACTAATCACTTTACCATCAGGCCGTACAATTGTAATAAGTTACTTTATATAAAGCAATTAAAATCATTAGTAAATAAAAACGAAAAAAATAAATATACAGTCATGATTTCAACAGCAAAATCTGATTGAAGTTAAAATGCAATAAAGTAAGAATTTAATTTAATACATATTATTGAGTTTAATTCTACTTACTATATGTAATATAGACAACGGCCAAACCATGCTGAATATACCGGTTCTCGTTAGATCACCGAAGTCAAAATCATTGGGCGCGGTCAGTACTTGGGTGGGTGACCACCTGGGAACACCGCGTGCCGTTGGCATTCACAAATTTGGGACCTGAATGGCCGAGTGTCTAGCGCTTTGGCGCTCGGTGCCACAGGTTTCGGGTTCGAATCCCGGCGATGCCATGGATGTTTGTAGTGGTTCGGAATCCCCTTTAAGCCATAGGTCCCGGACTCCTATGACTGTAAGAGCGTCACGGAGCCAAAGTCAGACTTCTACCTACGGGTGCTCCATCACAACAGAAGCTGCTTCCTTCCCCTTCAATCATGAGTACGTATGGGTTCGTGGGCTTGGCCAGCCAAGTGGGATAAGAAACAACAACATATGTAACATATTGGAGTTAAAAATTACCTTTTTGAGATATGATTCACTTCTTTTTAGCACTAATACGAATTCAACCTTAATTTGAGAATACGTACTAACACAGTGATAAATATTAAATATTGATGATAAATATCAAAAAAATGATATTGCATATAAGTATTTAAATAAGATCAATCCATTCACACAAGCCTTTTTTATCAATATATATATATATATTACAATTTGCAATGATCAAATCATAAAACGTACAAATGTTTGTTGACCTAAATCAAGTATTTTGGTCAACAAATATTTGTATGATTTATGATTTAAAGATATTGAGATTCAAATTTAAAGAAAATTAAGATGAATTTTTAATTAAACTTCTACTTTAAAAATTAATTTAATTAATTAATTTTTAATTAAAATTAAATTTTAAAAAAATTAATCTAAATTATATTAAAAGATACTGTGATTCAAATTTCATGGTTTTTTTGTTATTCTTACAATTCAGCGGTAATCATATAGCCAAGCATATATATATATATTCCCAACTCGGCAAATTAAGAATATTTTAATGCCAATTTTTTACTATTTCTTTATATGTGCAAATATTGCGAAAAACAATTTTAATACATGGTATATGGAGATGCGCAGGTATTATTTTTATTTAAATTTATTATCTTTTTCAGTTGCCGAAAGGTATAAGTCCTAAAGTTTTTAAGATGTCCCAATAAATACTTATGTTTTTATTTACACATCATGTACATAGGTTGATTTTGTAACAGAGCCTTCCCTCAGACAAATGATTTTTATATACTTTTCTTATCAAATTAATAAATAAAAAAATTTTAAAAATAAATGCATTTAAAAACATTAACTTCCTCAGTGTTTGTTTTCTGAACATAATCGCATTGACTTCTGAGCGACTCATATAACCATTGAACTAAACTTTAAAGAGTCGTAAACCACGTTTAATCGGTTAATATTATGTAAATGCGTATTTAGATTTATACGGCTTTTTATTTTGTTATTAACTACAGAGATACCATCCTGAAATGAGACTTTTCAGTAGTACATCAGTTATAATGAGTTTGCAATTCCTTCTATTAGCTCACACTCTCCCTATATATATCTTGTTCACATTTTCAATCGTTCATAAAATACTTTTCATTCATCCATTCAAGTTCAGATACATTTTTTTGAACTTGCAGTGGATGGCACTGGATGTGAATACAGTTTTTTCAAATATTAACTAATTCATTAAATTTAATGAATTAATTTTAGTGTTTGTTTAGATTTAAGTTGCATGTATCTACCCATAGAGGGCGCCCGATAAACTAAAAAAAATGAATGAAAATTATTTATAAAGGACTTTCTGCAATAGAGTGAAAAAAGAAAGCAGGAATTGGCTTTGAAAAAAATTTTTTTTTATTACTTGTTAACTACAGAGATGCCACCCTGAAATGAGACTTTTCAGTAGTACATCAGTCATAATATTTTTTTTCCCGCCAACAGGAGCAAGCCTTCATGTCCAGCCACCCCCAGTGGGGAAAGACGGTGATCATCGGCTTGGCAGATATCGGCGAGACGATGAAGGCGGGAATCTGGGAACTGATTTATGGAAGACAACTTGTTGGAACCTTCTACGGATGTAAGTAGAATGGATATCTTACAGCAAGCAATGTCTCACTAGAACAAGCATCGGTTTTAAAATAATTAGGCACTTAACATATTAATCTCATGACAGCAATTGATCGCTCATAATAATCTCGACGCATATTAATATCAACGCTTCATCGCTTGCATTAACATTTCCGCCCGAAACAAACAGTTGAAAACTCTTTCTCTGAAACAAAACTTTCATCACACCACACCCCTTACCAGTTAGAAAGGTGACAGTGGAACGTCGATGAGCCTCATAAATGCAATGGACAGGCTTGGTGGTATGGTATTGTGGTGGTGGTATTAGTTTACAAAATGATGGTTTACTAATGTTTCTTTACAACATCAATTAGAATTAGTTTACTAAATACTAATTGATTATATAAAGAAACATTATAAACAAACTCAATTTTATAAATTATATGAAATTTAAATGTGGTTAAAATACTTATAAAATTGATATAAACTTTTCTTACTTCCCTGATTTTGTTTAATACACTGCACACCCTGTGACCCACATGATTTTTACTTGCTATATTTTTCAATTATTCGTCATTTACTTCATTATCGTGTATTTCATTATTATTCATTACTGTTTGTTCATTATAGTTTATTCGTTATATTTTGTTTATAGTTTTTAAAATGGTAGTTAGTGGAAGGACAGTGCCTTCCGTGAGGACTTTTAGGGGTAAATGCCCCTCATTCTCATGAAGTATCTTATTTGTTCTTAATAGTATATTAGTTTCCTCAAAGATCTTCTACCATTGCTGATCCAAGATAGCCTTTCATAAGCCTCAATGCCCTGTCTGGAGGATGCCGGTGGAAAGCACTTTTGACAACTTTGAAGGTGAAATAGCCGCCATTTCTTTGGCCTTTGACAAAATAGAGCAGTGTGAAAAAGAAAATATCATCTTTTTTTTGTTGGAGTGGCAATTACGACCTTGACAACTTCCAATCACTGTCAATGAAAGAAAAAAAGAAAAGTCTGAGTTGCTGAGAAAAGTCTCTCAAAGCTTACTTGGTTTGCCGATAAAGCAATAACTGTCTTTGCTGGTGGTCGTATTATTGAAGGAATATTCAATTGCCTCCTTAACATTTAAAACACAAAGACACATGAGTCACACCGTCACATTTCCACATGAATTCCTGGAAGTTTTGAAAAATTAAAATTATTTCAAATTATAAAATAGATTACTAATAAATATAATATTTTTTTTCATTATAAAAAAGATCGGATTTTTAAACTGATTCCTGACTCAAACACCCGACTCTTAAATTCTCGATTGCCCGCTTCCCACCTCTGCTTCCAAGAAATTAAGGTACTCATGCATTCGCGTCTGATTTCAGCTTACAAGGCCAGACTGGGCATTCCTGATTTAGTTGACAAGGTCGTGAGCGGGCAGATCCAACTGGAGAAGCTCATATCCCACCGACTGCCACTCGACAAGATCGAGGAAGGATTCAAGATGCTCACAACTGGGGAATCGTAAGTCGTTTTTTTTTTATTAAATGGCTTCTAACATTGATTAGTTATTACATTAATATAATAATACTCGTTAATTAACGTTCATAGCTCATAATATTACGTTGTTATATTCCTTCAAACACATATTATATTCTGTCCAAACATAGATAGATTCTTTAAATGTAATTATATATATATTATATATATAATGTAATTATATATATCGGATCGGTGTGCTTGCAGTGGATTCCCACCCATGTGGGCATCTATGGAAATGAAATTGCTGATCTGCTCGCTAGGGAAGGTTGCGAACTTCCCAAAGCTTGTTCTTCCAATCTGTTAGCTTCAGAGGTTCACTCCATGACTTTAGCAAGAGTGAATACCGCTTGGAGGTCGCCACCCATTCATGCATGGTACGCCTCTAAATATCCTGGCATGTCCTTGCAGTGCTCCTGCCCTAGATCTGCTCAAACGGCTTCAGCTAGACTAAGGACTGGCCACACTAAGAGTTTGACCTTCAATGGAGACATTTGCCCTTTGTCATTGTTCATCCATCGCGTCTCCCTCTCATCTCGTTGATTGTGTTGGTGCCTCTGTGAGGCAACTGTTGAATGAGGGGACAGTTTACGATCTATTGATGCAGCATGATCGACTGGACTTGGTTTAGGATTCTAAATCAAGGGATAAGCACAACAACATATAAAATAAACAAAATGAGATGATGAGCCTTCATCGAATTGGACTTTTGCATTTAATCAAATGATAGTTGGAATTGAAAATCAGCAGACACAAATCAGTTTGTCTTAATTGCTTATGACCTGGAATTTGTCTACAGCAAAATTTATTTTGGAAATATATTTGGGATAACATTGAAATAAATGTATATTTATTTCATTTAATTATTCAACATTTAGTTAACATTAATAACATTTAAATCAACAGGTGCATTAAATTTGATGTGTAACATATTTGTTATAACTTAAAAAGTATAATTCTTAATTTAATCTGAATCTATTATATTTGTTAAGTACCAAGTAGATAAAAATGCATGGGTAAAAATATAGATATTTCAATTGCAGTAAAAAATCTTTTTATAACAAATTCGATATTTTATAAAAATAATAACAAATATTTGCTCATATATATATATATATATACAGAGAGAGAGAGAGAGATTTATAAAAATTATTTATATAATTTTTTTTTCCTGGAATTATTTTGAATTGAGAGTTTCAATTTTCATGGATAATTTTTTCCCAACAGAGCTTACTAGTTTGAATTATTAATTAATAGTAAATAACTAATAATTTGATAGTTACATGCTGATGAATAGCAAATGATTTTATAATGGATATCATTGCATTATTAATAAACATTGTCATCAAGGGAAAAAAAGTAATTTTTTCAAATATTGTATACATTTTTAAAAAAGACATCGAATTTTATTAATTTAAAAGAATTAAGAGTTTTTTGAATTAAAAATTAATATAATTTCCTTTTACAGGCTCAGAGCTATCATTGATTATGATCTCTAAACACAGAGAGGATACCTTGCTTCGAAATGAAAAGCGAAGATGATGAAAATCATTAAAAACTTAAAA